GGCTTCAGAAAGAGCTGTGAACCAGTGAGCTGAATCCCAGCTAATCATTCATCGATGGCTCAGAGCAACAACAACAACAACAACAACGACAACGACGACGGCGACGGCTGCTGGCGATTTGTCCAAGCGGCGCGCGCTTTAATTTTCGACGGGGTGCAATGACGGATATTGTGAAATTTGTGTTTGTAATTTGTATAGTTGCTGTTGTTGTTGTTGCTGTTGCTGCTGCTGCTGTTGTCGTTGTTTGCTGCTCGTTGTCCGGTTGTTGTTGTTGCTGTTTTGTGCGCGCAATTACTGAAATTGTGTGATTACTCATACGCCCGATATAACCGGCATGGTAGCCGCGCGCTTCGACGGCGACTCTGGCTGCCAGCAGCAGCAGCAGCAGCAGCAGCGGGCAGCAGCTCAAAGTAAAAGGTGTAGCCGCCATATTAGCGCAAAAAGTGTGCTTCAAATTGGCCACGGGGAGGCCAATACTCTGTTTATGGCATAAACACACACACACACTCACACACACACAGAGAGACTACTTATCTCTGTGCGTTGTGCAATTTTCATGCACCGGTCAAAGTCAACATCCAAATCGATGGCTCTCTCAATACGAATGCTCGCCGGAGTGTCACTCGACCTTATGCCAAAGCAAATCACATAAAGAAATTATATACTTCAGCCAAGCGCAACTTGACTTACAGATCAAGCAGCTGGTAATAGTAATAATCATAATCATAATATTCATAATCATAATCATAATCTTAATATGTATGGCTACATTTTATTTACGGGGGGATCTTTTCGCTGGGCTTGTTGACCTTGCCGCGCCTGAGAAACGCCGGAAATTAACAAATGCTTCTGCTGGCGCCAACTTGAATTGTTATTTTCAATCCGCTCCACTGTTTTCTGTGTTTTCTGTGCAGGCGCCAAAATTAACAAAGTGTGAAAAGTTCAGAGTGCCATAACATCAGCAAACTTTGGAGACGTCTGAGACGGCGCCTAATGCGAAAGTTACATCTCTCTCTGCCTCGCTCGCTCGCTCGCGCGTTGAATGCCGCCCGCAGCTAGACAGATTTGGCTTTATTTGGCTTTTTTTAGGTTTTAGCTATAGAAAGTCTAAGTATTCTATGATCTTTGATCTGGAATACTTTCAGAGGAATATTCATTTTTGCTTAACTCTTATGCAGTTCTTGATTCAGCTATCCCAGTTATCTTTAGAAAATTACTCAGAGACATGCTTAAGTATATATAAATATATATATATACACACACACACACACACACACAATACACTCACTTGGGCATTGGCGGGAACGTGACCCAATCTGAAGAGATAAAAGTCAAGCGTGACAAACAGCAGCCAGAGCCAAAGAGTCTGACAAGCAACAAGCAACAACTAGCAACAACAACAACAACTAGCAACAACAACAAATCGTGCCACACAAATTGCCAACGCCAAAGTTCTTGATTTCACAATTAAAAGGCTCAAAGCTGCGGCTAGGAAGAGGAAGACAATTTCATATTTTTATTTTTTTTTTTTTTTCTTAAATTCTTGACAGCACATGAAATATATATAGACCAGCAACAACAACAACAACAACAACTACAGAAATGACAACAACCTCAACCAACTGCAATTGCGGCTGACTCATAACGGTTCGATTCTAGCCAAGTTTTCGTGCTGCTTGTCTCAGCTTTTGGCCAGTTGCTTTTCATAATTTTGCTTTATGCTTCGTTGCGATTTGAAGGGCCTCGTCATAGTTTTTGTCTAGAGTTTTATGATGCTGCTGGCACGCAAAAAGTCAACTTTAATTGCAGTCTAAGTTGCAATCGGATACTTCGACTCAGTCTTGACTCTCAGTCTATGTTGCAAGCGGCTTCTCGGAATAATATATTCAAGCACGTGTTGAAATATAGCCATCTACATCTATAGCCAACAGCAACAGCATTGCTCTCGCACTGGTAGTGTCAAGGAAATGACAGCAAATTCAAGAAAATACACAACTTATCGCTCGCATTGGAAGTAAGCTGTTGTACAATGCTGGCATCAATTGAGAGATCTATACTTGAGCTTGACAGAAGTCAGTAAAGCGGAGATATGCTAGTAGAGATCGAAATATAGCCATTTACTAGTTGATAGTGAAATATAGACATTCAATATACAACAACTATGCTCGCTCCTAGGGCTGACTCTGGGAAGAAGTTCTACTGCTTGCAGACCCTCTTATATAGCAGAAGAAAATGATTTCTCATTTATTTATTTATATACCAGGCTTTGCTGATGGTATAGACAGCTATTTCATTTCGCTCCTTCTCTCTCTCCCTCTCTCTCTCTCTCTGTCTGTATAAAGTTGATGCTCTTGTCTTCAAAGCCGACGTTGAGAGAGCTGTTCATCATTTACAATCATTCTCAGCATAAAAAAAAACATCGAGTATATATGGGCTCTGTGCTCTTATTACTCGCCGTGGCTGATCTTGATATTCATATTCTTAAAGGTAAAGAAAAGAAGAATATTCCTAGCTAATTTCCTTATAGCGCAATTAGATATATTATAAATATAAAGATGTAAGAGTAGGGCATTCTTTGCTATAAAAACTATACATGGGTTTTCTAATATCATATTTCATTTCATATATTATATACATATATCATTTTATTTCATATCATATATCAATTAAAAATATTACAATATTCAGCTTAGACTTAATAGGAGGATAAAGACTTGTCAATTCTCTGTTATAAAAACTATACATGGAACTATTCATATATCATGTTTCGTATCATGATATATGATTCATTTCATATCTATTAGAAATATATATATATATCTATTAAAAATATTAAAGCTTACACCATAAAGAGGCTAAAGACTTGTCAATCCCCTTGCCTACCTAATCAAGTAACTCTTCTCTATAAATTGATATCTGGAAAATAGGTTAACATAACAGACATCTACAACCACAATTTTCAACAGTAACTGAAGAAAATTTGTTACATTATAAACCCGATTTAATTGTGCTCAGTGACTAAACAAATATTGAAAAAAAAAAAAAACAAGCAAACAAGGCGTTCGTCTATAGCCCGAAACAAAAATCCGCTTAACAAATCCGCTTCAGCTTTCAGCTCCAAGTAAAACTCTCACTGTTTTCAGTTAAAGAACACGGCAACCGTGAAGGGAAAGGGGCGTGTCTCTGGCACAGCATGAAATTCAAAAGAAAACAACAACCACAACAACAACATCAAACGTAATCAAAAGGCAAACACTGAAATTCGAAATTCAGTCGAAATGATTACAAGAACATTTTACATTTGACCTTGGCCATAATTTGTTGGCGAAGCTTTTTTTTTTTAAAGTAAATACATACATACATACATACCTGCATATATACATATATATTTTTCTACGAGACAAAAGCTGAGCGTGCGTTTGTTTTTTCAATGAGAGCTGCACACAGACACAGCATATGCATATATGTGTATGTATAAGTGTGTGTGTGTGTGTGTATGTGCTTAATAACAATGCCATTTGTATCTTGCGGGCGTTGTTGAGGGCGTAGCAGACACAGAGAGGGAGAGAGAGAGAGAGAGATAGAGGGCGAGTAATGCTCGTATAGCTGAATTCCCCGCGTCTTTTGCTCGCTTTAAATAGTTTTGTAATTTAATTAATATACAAAAAATGTTTTTTTAAAAATGCTAATTACGCACAATGCGACTGCGAGCCATAAAATGACAATGAATTTCATTTCTGGCGGTCGTTTGTTGTTGTTGTTGCTACTGTTGTTGTTGTTGTTGTCCTCTGTAAGCATTCAAATGTCAAATAAAAAACAGTTAACTGTCATTGTCTTATGGAGTGCCCCTCGAAAACAATTGCATTGAATTGATTGATGAGTTGTTCTGCGGCTAAACGTGTCGAGCCTATATCTATATAGCTCAAGGCACTATCGCATATCAGGGCTAAGACTGCCCACAGTTAGATACTTACATCTGGCAGTGCCTCGCATATTGTGCTGGCCAATATAAGCGCTATGATCGAGCCAAATATTGAGAACATTTTATGTGGTCTGTATTGTGGGGATTGCTTTAAAGAACTTAGGCTGCAAAAGAAAAGAAAAAGAGAGAAAAACAGAAAATATTTAGTAAAATAAATTAAAATATTGAAGGGAAAAAATATGAAAAAACAAGAATATAAATAAATTATGATATACATACGTATAAAACTAAAAAATAATAACAACAAAAAAATAATATATATATATATAATATAATAATAAATAAATATAATAAATTTAAAAAATATTTAAAATAAATATTTCATATATAATTATATAAATAAAAATAAACATAATATAGTTTTAAGTTTTATAAATATATGAAAATAAAAAAGTATTATAAATATATATAGAAGCTTTATTCTTACACCAGTCTAAATTCTTTCTCTATTTCTAGCTCTATCGATTGCCAAATGCAAATTGCATCAACTGAAACCTCTCCTTAGTTCCCATAGCACGCTGTCCATTTACTTGAGCTGCCTCTTTTTTTACGCTTAAATGGTTATTATTATGCTATACTCGACTTGCATCCTCTGCTTGATGTGAAACTGTTGCAACTTTACAATTAATAATTTTGTATTTATTGTAAGCAAAAGCAGAAAAAAAACAAAAACAAAAACAAAACTTTTCTGGCCCGTTGGCTGTAATTAATTATTGCGTAAGGCCAAGAAGCAATACAAAATCAGAAACAACCATGTTGTTGTTGCTGTTGTTGTTGTTATTGTTGTTGTTGGCGTACATCCGTCCGGGCATAAATGCCATCGAATGCGGCTAATTGTCAATAATGATGCAGCGATGCGTGGCAAAGAGGCGGCAACAGCATCCACATCGACATGGCCAGACCTTTGACAAACCAACACAAAACAAACAAAACTGCCCAATAACAACAACAACAATGACAGCTGCTGTTGCTGTCGCTGTTGCTGTTACTGTTGCATTTTGCAACATCGACTCTTACAACAAATTGCATGACATTTGTCTTTCTGCCTGCAACAGGCACTGCTGGGCCGCTACACGCCGAGGGGACAGCAGCTCAACTCTTGAGATATCAATTTTTTTGGGGCAATTTGTATGCAAATTTTGCAAGAGCTGCAAAATGCAACAAAATAAAAAATAAAAAATTAAATTAAAAAAAAAAAGCGATCAAGGCGTGAAGAAAGTTTGTTTCCCTAAACGATAGCTGAAAAAGTGAGGACTTAACTAAAACTCAGCAAATATATTATAAAATATTAAAATATGTGGCTATAAAATTATATGAACAATAAATAAATATATTTGATATATTTATTTTGTATATATTTTATATTTTATATATTATATATTCAATCATTTTATTTGATGACAATAATATTATGTTATTGTAGTCTTATTTTAATATATGTAAAAAAAAGTAAATAAGTAAAATATGTCAGCCTGAAGGCCTTTGTTGCTCTAGCTTCAAACGTTGGTTTTTAGAATTATTTCTTTGTAACAATTAAATTAATAATAATTTAATTTAATAATTAATATAATTAAATTAAATTAAATTTTTATTTTTTTTTTATTTTTATTAAATATTTTTGTTTACATATTAATAATAATTTAGCTAAATAAAAACTGTATATATAATGTTAGGAAGATTTACAAGAATAATTATTTTTTCATTATTTAAAAAATATATGATTTTATTTAATTTTAAAAAGTTTCATTTTTGTTATTTAATTTTTTATTTTTTTGCTCTATTTTTATTTATTATATTTAAAATATATTTTAGAATATTATTATAAAATATATTTTTTCATCGTTTTTTTATTTTATTTATAGAACAGACAAGTCCAAATATAGCGAAAATACAGATACAGTCTAACAAATATTTTATGGATTATCTATATGGGAATCTAATGCAAACGAAGAACACATTTTATACATATATACCGCGTGAAATTCAAGACATTGCCATTTATAGCTTTCCTTATTGCTCAATCTGAATATAGTACAATGTCAAATATGAGAAAAAAAAAACACATTTTCATACCAGTATCTGCAGCTGTGCCCATTCACCAAAAAAAAACCATCTAAACCACTTTAACAGTTCCATTTACACACATCGCCCATATATATAGATCAGAAAGTGAAATGTAGCAAAACGTTTAATTGTGAATTATGGGCACTTATTTAGAAATTGTTGCCGGCAATAGCTGTTACCATTTTCAAGTTGGCATGGGCGTGCAGAAGTGAAAGAAACGAAAGACATGCTCGTTTCGAGGGCGTGCATTTTGCGTCAAATCTGTTGAGATTTAAATGGGGTTTCCACTCGACAACGGACGTTTAGAAGGGGCATGTCTGGGAGCAGCCCACGAGTAGAGACCAGCCTGCCAATTAGTCCATTTATCGAATGAAGACATTAGTGGGTCACCCAAGGGTTAATGGCCAACGTGCAGACGTAATTAGTTCATATTAAGCGATACAAAATCAAAAGACTTAGGAAACGAACTTGACTTAACATTTTATATAACAGTTTGGCTGAATATATGTGCATATATATTTTAATGCAATTAATTCGTATTTTAAATTTTAAAAAATATAAGTTTTAAAGAAAATAAATAAGTATAACATTTTTTATATTTATTTCATCATTTTATTATTTATTATGCACTTAAATTTCAACTTTATATCCAAAACTTAAAAGAATTTTGGAGTAAACTCCTTTTGCTACTCCTTTCTATTTCTATTAACTAATCATATATATCATTTTCATGACTATATACTTTATACTAAAGCAAATTATTAAAACATAATAACTAAAACCCTGCTCAAAAAAAGGTTTATTTCACTTTCAAGTCATAAAAGAAGAATGAATCCCCGAGTTTTACAAGCGATGTTTTTTGTGATTAACAGCAAAGCTAAATGTAAATCTTTGTCAAGTTCACTTGGCTATTAGCCCACGGGGCAAATGGCCCTCGGGTCCCCAGGTAAGTTCAAAGCCACCAGCTGAGCTTTAAACGGGTAAACAACTCGCGGCTGCCAAATATCGTGAATAACCTTGGGCAAGACTTTCACCTGACAACGACAGAAAAATGAAAAACGAAACAATAGAAAAATAAAAGTGAAACATCATCAAAACGAAATTAATTCATCAAGGTGTCAAATTATGACGAATTCGTGTTCGAATGTCAACGAAAAACTATTAATTAGAAATTAACTGGGGAAATAAATACCCTGTATACAGCAATACAATACAAAAGAAAAGAAAAGTTATTAAAACGTGTGTTACAACAATATTAGAAACTATGGCTAATCGCATAGAAATCGATTCAAGCTCTATAAGACGCCGTATATGAGTGATTAAGGCATATACGGACTGATTAGTAATACCCTGTATTAACGAATTAGAGAGGGTTTATTTAGGCGTATATGTAATATACCGTATATTTGTGATTAAGGCGTATATGGACTGATCAATTATACCCTGTAGTAAGGAATTGAGGAGGGTAAGTTTAGCATATATGTAATATATTTAACATTTTATATATACATTTATTAAATAAGTAAGCATTTATTAATAAAATATATAAGATATTAATAATAATCAATAAGCTCTTTGAATTGTATTGCTATGGACAATTAATAAAATAATATAAGTACAATTTTGTATTTAATATATCAAAAATTAATGTTTTGTGCATTGCAGTTAATTTTTTATTATCTCAAAAGTCGTTTTTATATAACACTCTATAAATTTATCTTTATATGCATAATAAATAATAAATATACATATTCAAGTTAATAAATAATTTACAATGAAACCACTCAGCATGCCCCACATCGTCTTTAAGCAGGGTATATAACGACATATATGTATACATATCTATTGAACGCTCCCAAATGTGACAAGCTTACAGTTTTGGTACGTTATCGCACACTTCTGCTTTGCATAAATTTATAGCCGCTACAGTTATGCGACAAACAAATCGGAAAGTCATATTCAAACAGATAAAAACAAACGGAATCAAATCGTATATATTAACCAAATATATATATATGTACCTATATGTATATACATATTATATTATGCTTATTTTCTTGGGCTGGCTATTTTTGTCAAACTCGATATTTGAGTTTTGCATAATTAAGGTCGATTAGGGTCAGTTTTTGTATGATGATCAAGCAGCAGCTCAAGGTTATGGTTATGGCAATGCATTTGCGCAGAGAACTTGCACAATAACAAATCAGACTCAGATCTATATGGTATATAAAAACTAAATATATACAATGATTTACCTATGTATATACATATATATGTTTCACTTGCTATGTGCATGCGTTTTTATTGGCTCTGCGGCATAGCGTGCATGGCCAACCGTATGGATTATGTAATCGACATCAAACGGCAACAGTTTTTCACAGTTCGCACTGTTTGCCGTGGCAATTAAGCTTTGTGGCCAATTTAAGAGCCGTCACCAAAACAGAAGCGCTAAGAAAGCCGAACAGTTAAAACGCTTTTGGGCCACAATTCAAGCATTGTTACTGTCTCTGTCACTATGTGTGTGTGTGTGTGTGTGTGTGGAATTATGCCAAAAGGCATTGAAAGAAAATTTTTTTTTTTTTTTAAGAAAGCCGCAACTAGCTTGCATGCGATTGTTGAGGGGGGTCGCCAAAGAAACGAGAGAAAGAAAAAAAAATAAAGCTAGTTGCATTGTCAGCTTCCGCATAATTATGCCGACACAGACACTTGCCATACATATTTAACAGAGTGAGCGTCTGTCTAGTCTGTCCCTCCCCTCTCTCCCTCTCTCACACACACTCCTTTTGCCAATGCATTTTGTCTGTTTATGGGAATTTTTGTTGGTTTTTTTTTTTTTTGCTTACTTTTTAAACAGTCGCTCTTAACTGCCTATGATCATAAAACCCTCATAGTAGAGTGTATTATAATTTTATCGTTAAATATGTAACGCTTGTCAGGTCAGCGCAAGCCAAATGCTGGTTTTAAAATTATATAAAGCTAAGCTCACAATTGTTGGCTATTGTATTAAACAAGTATTTTGTTTTCTTTGCAATTTTAATAG